GTCCAAAGAATATGACAGAGCTAAAGCAGTTCTGCCAGGAAGAATGGGCTAAAATTCCTCCTGAATGATGTGCAGGTCTGATCTACAGCTACAGGAAGCACCTGGTTGAGGTTATTGCTGCCAAGGAGGGTCAACCAGTTATTAATTCCAAGGGTTCACTTACTTTTTCCACTACCATTTTGAATGTTGAATGAGTGTCTTCAATAAAGACATGAAAGATCAGAATTTTTTTTATTATTTTAGGCATGTTATATTTGTCAATACTCGACTTAGATGAAGATCAAATCACATTTTATGACACATTAATGCAGACAACCATAAAATTCCAAAAGGTTCACATACTTTTTCTTGTCACTACTTTGCAGAGTTCAGACAATTAATTACTAGGTCAAAAATTATCTGGCAACTGCTTTTTCTTTCGTTTTTCATGAAAACATGCCAAAGATTTGAGGGTTCTAGCTTCTCATATGTGAGCGTTTGCTGCCTTTCTTGGTCCTGCGTGATGGTAAAATGAATGGTGATTTTGGGGTTAGAACAGACATTTGACATCACCCTGTGCTGTGGGTGTTTTTTTTTTGTCTTTTTCCTGTTTTATAACCCAAACAATTGATCAGTCAATCAGGAGAAACGACAGGTAACCTGATAATGAAAGCTTTAGTTGCAGCCCATACAAGAGTATCATGTCCATTCAGCTTTACAGAGCATGTGCAACTTCTAACAACAGTTTTCAGTATTGAATACTTTGAATGTTTCATTAAGAAAACAATTGGGAGTCTATACAGCGGTGAGAGAACCCACAGCTCAAGCTTACACGCTATAACTGGGCCTGTTAACTAAACATTCTGAACCATGGCGCCGACACAAGACAGACATTTCCACAGGATTCCCCTGTTTTCACACGGTTTAGCTTTGTTTCACTTTGTGTAAAATAAAAAAAACTACACACATCCCTTTATATATCACTGGTTGCACTACATGTTCATTTAGACAGCACTGAAATTCAGTATCAACACTCAAGTCATCACAGTTTGAACCTAATTAACACATTATTCCCCAGGTGGAAACGCTGTCATACACCACAGTGGCTGTTTTGTAGCATATGTGTATTTGATGGCCCTTTTGTGATGTGTGAAGGCAAAGTTTGGTTTAGATGTGAGATGACTGTCACAGTAAACCTATAGTGTGTGTGTGTGTGTGTGTGTGAGACATTAGATGCTTTATTCACTATAACAAATTGACTGTCTTCATAATGAGGGAAACTGTTCCCATTCAGAAGGTTTCGACGACCTGGATGCTCGACACCTGATTAGGGGAACAGCTGTTCTTCCTTTTTTGGTTAAACAAGCCCTAATAACAGTAGATCATGTCATGCAAACCTAGCAGTATTTGCCAATTAGGTGTGTTGATGTGTGATCATAAAAAATGAGAATAGCATCTTCAGCCGCTTCCAAATTGGGCTCACAAAGAGCACTAATTATCTTCACGCCATGACCTATATTGTGTTCTCTGATAAGTGTAAAGTGTGCACACATGCTGGTGAATGTGTGCTCATTTGTATTTATAGCTGCACTGAGTATGATCAGGTGCTGCCACAAAGCATTTTATCCCAACCTGGCGTCTCTGCATGGCAGGTGACATCACGTGATGCTGCTGTTGTCATGTTCAAGTGTTTCCTGAGATGTTGAAAGTTGTTTCGTCAGTATACTGAGTAAGGCAAATTTAGAAAGTCACTGCCTTGTTTACACGCTTGCAGCCTCTCCGTCCTGGCCTCTTTTACTGCATCTGCAAACCCCACTTCTTTCATTATCCTCTTTTCTCTGCAGCCCCTTTTTATACCTCAGCTTCACACGTGTGCTTCCTTCCGTCTCCTGTTGCAGCGCTCCATAAATCTTTAAGTGCTCAGATGTATTTCTGCTCCTCCCAGTTCTCCACTGTGTGTTTTCCCAGCATAGTAGTATGGGCCAGTAAATGCAGAGGCATGATGGGAGAGCAGCATGGAAGCTGTTTCTTCTTC